CACAAATTACTCACTTTTCCCCCCTCCAAGTCATCTTACTGAGGTGTAATTACATACAATTCAATTTATCTTTCATAGATTTGGTGAGTTTTAACAAATGTATGCAATCATATAACTGACCTCACAATCAGGATTTTTTTTTACCTCAAAAGGTTCTCTCCCCTTTATATTTAATCACCTCTCAATCCCTGAAAACTCCTCATCTCTTTTCTGGCCCTATAGTTTTGCCTTTCCTAATAGGTCACACAAATGGAATCAAAACAGTATGTAACTTTACTTGTAATCACAATAAATGTAAATGGATCAAACACTTTGATTAAAAGGCAGAGATTGGCAGAATGGATTTTTAGAAACCAAGATCTATCTATATGCTGCCTACAAGAGAGACAACATAGATTCATAGATACAAATAGCTTGAGTGTAAAAGTATAGAAAATGATACACCATGCAAACAGTAACCAAAAATAAGTTGGAGAGGCTATAATTGTATCAGACAAAATAGATTTTAAAGCAAAAACTGTTACTATAGATGGAGAAAGATGTTCTATAATGATGAAAAGGTCAATCCATCAAGAAGATATGATAGGCCGGGCGTGGTGGCTCACGCCTGTAATCCTAGCACTCTGGGAGGCTGAGGTGGGCGGATTGCTTGAGGTCAGGAGTTCAAAACCAGCCTGTGCAAGACCCTGTCTCTACTAAAAATAGAAAGAAATTAATTAACCAACTAAAAATATATATACAAAAAATTAGCCAGGCATGGTGGCGCATGCCTGTAGTCCCAGCTACTCGGGAGGCTGAGGCAGGAGGATCGCTCGAGCCCAGGAGTGTGAGGTTGCTGTGAGCTAGGCTGACACCATGACACTCACTCTAGCCTGGACAACAAAGTGAGACTCTGTCTCAAAAAAAAAAAGAAGAAATGACAATTATCAACACATATGTACTTAATAACATAGCCCAAATATACATGAAGCCGAAATGGACAGAATTAAAAGGAGAAAAAGACAGTTCAGCAATCATAGTTCAATACCTCATTTCAGTGATGAATAGAGCAACTACACAGAAGATGAGGAAGGAAACAGAAGACTTAACACTAGAAACTGACTAGACCTATCAGTCATCTCAAGAGCACGCCGTCTGACAACAGCGGAATTCATGTACTTCTCAAGTGCATGTGGAGCATTCTCCAGGACTGGCTGTATGTTAGGCCATGAAACAATTTTCAATAAATTTAAAAGGTTTGAAATCTTTCAAAGTATGTTTTCTGACATTAATAGAATGAAGTTAGAAATTGTACATAAAGAAATTTGGGAAATTTAAAACATCATGTAGTCTTATGTATTTAGCTTCTTTTACTTAGCACAATGTTTTGGAGATCCATCATGTTATGTTTATCAGTAGTTTCTTTTTATTGCTGAATGATAGTTCATTTGGGGTTATATCACATTTTGTTTATCCGTTTGGACATTGGGTTCCCGTTTTGGGCCATTCTGAGTAAAGTTACTTTGAAAATTCATGAACAGGCCAGGGCATATGTTTTCATTTATTTTAGATAACCGTCTAGGTATGGAATTTGCTGGTATGGTAAGTATATATTTAGCTTCATAAGAAATTGTTGGTTTTCCAAAGTGACTACTATTTTATATTTTCACCAGCAATTTATGAGATTTCTAGTTATTCCACATGATTTTAACACTTAGTTTTTTTGTCTTTTTAATATTATGCATTTTATCTACTTGTCAACTAGGGAACCATTGGGATGTAGGCCTTGGGTATTTCCAACTGGCACTCCAAAATTTGCATTTTCCTGATGACTAATGATCTTGAGCATCTTTTCCTGGCTTACTGGCCATCTGTCTCTTCTTCAGTAAAATGTTCAGATCTTTGCCCATTCTTTAATTTGGTTGTTTGCATATCACTTAATTGTGAGAGGTTTTAATAATATATTCTGGATACAAATTCTTTATCAGGTTGTGTTTTGCAAATGTTTTGTTTTCTTTCTGTCTTGTCTTTACACTTTCTTAACAATGTCTTGAAGAGCAGAAGTTTTGGTCAGGTCCATTGACAAGTAACACCCAGTGCCAATGAACACACCAAGTACCTAGAGCTTGTTTTCTAAATACTCTTCTCCACTGAAAGAAACCAGGGGTCCTTGGAAAAATGGCCAATTCTAGGGCTGAGATGGAAAGAGTGTGTAAGATGAAACTGGAATATTTTGTGCACCAGAAAGCAAGGAAGTGCTCAAAGAATAATGGGGAGTAGTCAAAAGCACATCAGAACCATCTTGAAGGAGCTCCCACTAGCCAAATCTGAGATAATTTGAGCACCAAAAGAAATAATAATTGTAATGGATTATAACTTATTTAATAACATAGGAAATCAGGAGTCTGAACAGTTATAAATAAATGGAGGAAAAGTGGAAGACCTTCCTATGGTAAAATGCCAATTAATTAATACATGGGATGATAGAATTATAAAATCACCATTTGGTAACCATGATAGCAATAAGTTATTTAGGCAAGAATCATTAATTTGTGCTAAAACAAGTAGGTGAAGTTTGTTACATAGTTTCAAATTATGTGATACATAAATACACAAAATACATATTAATTACAAAGAAAAGAATAGTGCGTTTCCAGTGGAGAAACGTGGAAGATACTTCCTTAACCAAGTGAGCAAAGTTAACCTCACCGAAAATCAACACTGTGCACCTCCTGATAACGTGCTGAGAAGCACACGATTGCTTCCGTGGTGGTCTTGCCAAAAAGTGCATGATCTGACTCTAATCACATGGAAACATTAGACAAACCAAACTGACAGATATTCTACAAAATAACTAGCTTATATTCTTTCAAACTATCAAGGTTACAAAAGACAAGGGAAGAATGGGGAACTAGTTAAAGAAATATGACTGGCTAGATGCCACTTATTATCCTGAATTGGATAACAGTCTTGGACCAGAAGAAGGAAAAACATTGTTTTCTATAAAGATCAATAAAATAAGCACTAAACCTCTATTGGAAGTTCAGGCACACTGGATCCTCCAAGAAAGAGAGAGGAACCTCTGCATACCGCATTAATAATTCATGTTTTTTCTGTTGTGAATTACCTGCCATGTTCTTTTTTTTTTTTTTTTTTTTTTTTTGGAGACATAGTCTCACTCTTGTTGCCCCGGCTAGAGTGCCGTGGCAACAGCCTAGCTCACAGCAACCTCAAACTCCTGGGCTCAAGTGATCCTCTTGCCTCAGCCTCCCGAGTAGCTGGGACTACAGACATGCGCCACCATGCCCGGCTAATTTTTTCTATATATTTTTAGTTGGCCAATTAATTTCTTTCTATTTTTAGTAGAGATGGGGTCTTACTCTTGCTCAGGCTGTTCTCGAACTCCTGAGCTCAAACAATCTGCCCCCTTGGCCTCCCAAAGTGCCAGGATTATAGGCATGAGCCACCGCGCCCAGCCTTACCTGCCATGTTCTTTATCCATTTATATATTCATTGTAAACATGTTCCAGTCTTGAGTTTGTTGATTATTTTTTGCTTTAATTGTGAAATTATGAAAGTAAACCGATTTCTTGTTTAAAAAATAAATTGTATAAAGGGCGTAAAGACCAAAATGAAAGCCCCTCTGATTTCCACATCCCACTCTCCAGATGTTCTCCTTCTCATTTTATATTTTAAAGTTTGCCTCCTACTCTTCCTGCTTCCTTTCACTCTAAAAATTTCTGTGAATTAGTCATGCAGCAAAAACATATATCTCAATGGACTTAGGAAAGCACATGGTCTGCAGTGAAAAAAACTGTATGTTGCCCTCTATAGATTTCATGATAAATGTATATTTATGTTCAAAACACATTTATGCATATTTAAGAATTTTAAAAATATGAAGACCTTATAGCAAAGCATGTACACAACTGGTACACAATTAATAAATGACTATAACCAATAGTGAGTTAGTAGCTTAAATTCTGGGCTATTGGAAGCCGTTATGTAATCTTTGGTGTTATCCTTTGATTTTTAAAAAACACACATAAGAGCCTTTTCCCTCTTGTTAATGGTGCAAGTTGAAATTGTTATTTGGGCCTGGGTACAGTTGGCTCATACCTTTAATCACAGCACTTTAGGAAGCTGAGGTGGGAGGTTTGCTTGAGCCTGGGAGTTTGAGATCAGCCTGGGCAACATAGTGAGACCCCATCTCAACAATAATTTTTTAAAAATTAGCTGGGCATGGTGGCACACACCTGTAGTTCCAGCCCCTCGAGAGGATCACTTGAGCCCAGGAGTTCAAGGTTACAGCAAGCTATGATTACGCCACTGAACTCCAACCTGGGTGACCGATCGAGACCCTGTCTCTAGAAAAATAAAAGTGGTATTTGGCTAAACTATGTGTGGTGCAGGTTGGAGGTAGAAATGGGTCTTCCTTCACAAGATTAACTACCTGAGTCTTCTGTTTTTAATCCTTCATAGAATAATAGGATTTTAGAACTAAAAGGCCACTGGAAATTTCTTTTATCATATCCTACTTGTTTTATAGGTGAGAAACAAATGCTTGGAATATAGGAGCCACACAGTAAATGTGTGTTGAATTAATGGATGAGTAAAATGAGGCCCATAGAAAGTAAATGACCTGTTCCTAGTCCTTTGCAAGTTAGTCACACTTGACCTCTGTGGTTTAAGTAAAGGAACCAGAATGTTAACAGTGCAGCTTTCCCTTACTCAACACACACTTACTGAATGCTTAAGATGTTCTGTGTGCTGTTCAAGGTGTTGTCATTTATTTCAAACTCTCAGGTCCCTGAGGAAAGGGGAGTCATTGAGATCATAAGTGATTTATAATAACTGTACGTCCTGTGATAGGGTGACCACTTGCTCTTCTTCATCGCCTGGGAAGAGGGCCTGTTGCTTTAGTCGCCCTGGAGCTTGGGGATGTGGCGTGTGGAATGAGAAGTAGGCCTCTCTGTGGACTTGATATGAACTGAACTTTTTTGTGTGTTTTTCCTCCCCAGCTGGAAGAAGAAAGATCTGTGCTCAATAATCAGTTGTTAGAAATGAAAAAAAGGTAGGCTTCCTTTCTGTGTTTATTGTTGTACATATGTTTAATAAGGAAAATGTCAGCACATGATGTGGTGGTGACTTGTAGTAGAAAACAAGTGACCTCCTTATATTCAGAAAATGGCATTGTGATAGTTCGGTACTCATCAATGACAAATTATTAAGACCCCTTTGCAGAGGTTTCACTGTTACAAAGCAAAGAGTTTTGTTTTTAAGCCATGTTCAGTTGCATCTATTCAGAAGTGTTTTAAAATCAGCCTGTTGTTACCTCCTAGTTTCAGTAACGAAGAATACTATAATTTTACATATAGTAGTTGACTTGGATACAGATTTAAATTATATAAAATGTCTGATTTTCACTAATACTGGATAACATCATTTTAAGTGTTTCTATTTATTTTCTGAAAAATAAAAGCTATTATTCATCCATAATATTCAAATGGAAACTTAGTATAATTTTTTCAGTACTCTTTAGTAAGGATGAATGTGGCCCACAGAAATAATTGTTTAGAAGCCTGATGTTTATATATACTGACAGTCTATCTGTTTTTTAAAACATGTAGTTTTGTCTAGAGACACTCTGTTTTATACTGCATGCCAAGCAGGTTTAATGTGTATTATTGCTAAGAACCAGAGCCTGTCCAGTGTGTTGCTGTAGAATACTAAATAGATGCATATCACAACAGTGGCATGCTTTTTTGCTTACTAAATATAAAACTAGACCTTCCCCCCACGGAAAAAAAAAAAAAAAACTAACTGGGCGTGGTGGCTCACCCTTATAATCCCAGCACTTTGGGAGGCCAAGGTGGGAGTATCACTTGAGATCAGGAGTTTGAGACTAGCCTGGGCAACATAGCAAGACCCCATCTCCACAAAAACTTTAAACAATACCCAGGTATGGTGGTGGCTCGTGCTTGTTGTCTTGGCTACTCAGGAGGCTGAGGCAGGAGGATCACTTGAGCCCAGGAGTCAGAGGTTACAGTGAACTATGATTGTGCTTCTGCACTCCAGCCGGGCAGCAGAGTGAGACTCTGTCTCTTAAAAAAAGTAAAAAGAAAAAGAATAGCATAACCAGTGATTCCTTATGCTCTTGTGCAGTATTTTATCCCTACTTGTCAGCCAGAGAAGGTTCCCCCACTGGCCTGCTGAGGTGTGTGTTTTACACTGGCAGCGTCCCCTCCTGCCAGCATGGTAGTCGCTTAGCAATTGAGCGACAATGTTTAGGTAGATACTGAGAGCTGTATTTATTTAGATTTAGGTATTTGGCTCCATGTGCTACATTCTAAAGGACGTTAGGCTCGGTCCAGGGGGACCTTCTTTTTTTTTTTTTTAATTAAAACATACTTAGATTCATTCTTTCAAATTTCACTAGGGGGTGTTTATACTTCAGAATGCATGTGTATGTCACCACTGCTACACCTTTGGCCCACCCAGATGTTCTCCAGGGCCCATGAGAGTGGCTTGGTCTGCCATGCCTCAGCCTAGTCCTGTGTACGGGCGCAGCTCTGTTCCTGCGGGCCTTGGGGTATTTAACTTTACATAAATAAGGTTTTGTTTCTTAAGAACCTTGTGTAAGCAGTTATTAAGGATACGTGAAAAAATAAACAGGGCTTGTTTGTTCCTGTGGCGTTCTGGCAAGGGAACACAAAAAAATGGGCTGGGATGTGTACTGACAGAATCCCCTTTCTTCCCCTTCATAACTCACAGTTTAGCTAATCTCAAAACCTAGAGAGATCTATGGTGGGGCTTGCACTTCAGCAGAATGTAACTAGCCAGGTGCGGTGGTATGCACCTGTAATCCCAGCTATTGGAGAAGTTGAGGCATGAGGAACGCTTGAGCCCAGGAGTTCAAGGCTACAGTACGCTGTGATCACACCCGTGAATAGCCACTGCATTCCAGCCTGGGCAGCATAGCGAGACCCGTCTCTAAATTAAAGAATAAAATAAAACGATGAAAGTGAAGCTAAAAAAGTTAGGCAAGTTGGCCAAGGACTTGGGATTAATAAATGACAGATGCAGGTTTTTATGCTGATTCTCTCCTCACTATACTTTAAAGCTTTTTATTTATTTTTTACTGTTTTATTTTCTTTTTCACAAAAGAGATGATAGGCTTCATTAATCATTACTTATCATGTAACTTTAAATTACATGCCTTTCAAAACAAGATTAGGCATGTGACATTTTTCATGGCTTAAAAAGATGGAACAAATTTGGGGACTGAAATTCTCTTCTTACTTCACTATCCCTGTTCCTGTTTTAGTCCTGGATCTTTAAGAGGAGAATGTCTCTTGAACATTTATCTTAATTTTGATCAGCAAATGTAGATAACAGTTTTTTCTGTGAGTGAAAATTTTAAAAACCTAATTTTAATATTTAGGACTTTTTTTGTTAAACCCTCATGGAAGGTTATTTCTATTTTAGAAACCTGAATGTAAATGTATTTTGGCTAATAATTTGGACCTTTAATTGCCTTTTAAAAGTCAGTTTGGTAAAGGAGTCATATGTTGTAATGGTTGTGTGTAATGGTTAAATTTCATTGAGCATAGAATACTAAAAAGAACTTGATATACTCTTAATTTAAAAGCCTTGAAAATATTTAAATCATAAAATATTTGAAATGTTAACCTCACTAGCAAAAAAAATAGAGAAGAAAAGAAATTTTAAATTTTATTTAATTTTTTATAAAAAAAAATATTTGAAATGTAGTTGGTCATACAAGAACTGAGAGCTTAGTCAACAGTTTACTTTGGAAGTGATAATTACACATAGTTAGGATATAATCACTTTATTCAAATGGTCATGATATTGAAGTGCAGAACTGATTCCTGACTATAGGATGAGAGTAGTTATTGCCAAGAAATGAGTAGAGTCCTCCCGTATTTGCTGTTGTTTTTTTGGTATCTTTAAACATTGGGTTGCAAACAATATGTAGTAAAAGTTTTTCTCTAAGCTTAAAAATATAATCATTTCTTTGAAAAACTTTCAAGCTGGGCAAACCTCTTTCAGACAGGTTCCAAGATGTCTAATAGGTAAAGCAGGGTAACCCCTGAATTGCTCTAATGGCCAGAACTAGAGAGGTTGTTCTCTCTGTACCACTCAGGCCTAAGGCAGATCTGAGAACTGGTTTGGAGTCCCTCCCTTCGCCCAGCTTTTTAATGTCAGAGAAGGAACTCCAAAGCCTTAGACATGGACTTTTTGGAGTCATGATTCATTCTCTTAGTGTAAATGCAGGGGTTTCTGTCAGGAATGAAAACTGGTTTGTCGATTAGTGTCCACAAGTTCTGAAGAGGTGCCTGCTACTTCAGCTCACTCAGCTCACTGTGGGTTGCTAACTGTCTGACTGTCTCCGAGCTTGCGCTACTTACCAATGCTCATTTCACCCCTCTCTTTTCCCTTTCCTACTCTTGCTTCCTTTGCTATATCTGTGTGTCTTTAATGGTAAGACTAAAGAAAGTCTATCCACGTTATAATAAATAAATTTCATATATTTTTAGTAAACCAAATTGTTGTATATATTTTTTGGCTGCCTTTGTCCCTCTGTGTCTTGCTTTTGTTTTGTAAAATATTCTCAGCAGTATATACATATATACACACACACACTTCTTTTTTATATCTATATACAGCAAAGAACTTCAGTGCAAATTTAGTCTCCTTAATGTATTTGCATTTCTCTTCATGTTTCTAATATTTGGTTCTTGTTATCTTGCATTTTTAAAGCTTGCCCAGTAACACTTTAAGGTATTTTCTTCATTACTGGAATTTATTTTTTATGTAAGTAGTAAGAAAAGAATCTGGGCAAAATGTTCCCTTGGGGGATGAGGAGAGGAAGAGATTTCTAGCCCCTGTATCCCTTCTTGATGTTTTTAGGAATAGCAAGTTATTCTAGCCAACGGGGCTTACAAGTAATATTATTTGTGACTCAGATGTCAGTGATGTCGGCATAAATGGTTTAATTTAGCACCTCGTGGCGGTTTGTGCAGTGAAATCGAGGCTAAGCCTGAGAAGCTAGTAATGAAGATCCATCGCAAAGATGGGCCGCCAGGGTCTACTTTTCCTGTCATTTGGCATATAAGTCACGTCAGATTTCTTTCTTAACCATGCAGCTTTTGATAACTGGTATAAGAAGCATTCTTCTGGCCATCTTCTTAGCAGCCTGGCTCTGAGAGTTTGTGTGCCCATGATGATAAGCAGAGAGCTGGTTGGTGGCCCCAGAGGAGGGCACCTGTTACTTTTTCCTTCTGCCAGCTTGTGTGTTTCTCTCTCCCCAACACTAAGAATCTGTGGGATCTTGGCCAACTAGAGTCCTGATTATAGGAAAATCTAAATCTGTTCTTAACAATCCCCAAATCCTGGTATATTTTAGTAAAAATATTTAAAATTACACTTTTCAAATTTGATTTGAATTTATAACAAGTGATGCTTTGGAAATAATTTTTTATAATACAATAAACTACCAAATAAATTTAGTAGAAACTTAAAGATCCCAAGATTTATTGCATCTTTGGATGACATCAGATATTTACTTTCCAGGTGGCAAAAAGGACCTATACATTCCTTTTATTTAAATTGCTTTTTTGTTTTAACCTGAGCAAGATCCTATTTCCTAGCAAGGTATTACTCGCTTAGTAATTCACCAGCACTGATGTCCACCCCTTTCCAGTGTGCACATAATGCTTGGGTTTTTAATTCAAGAACTTTCTGTAAGTCTCAGATTCTTTTCTTACTACTTATCATCCTGGAGTGTAAGTGTCAGCACAGGACGAGACAAATACAACACTTACATTTTCATCTTTGTGTACAATCTCAATTTACCATAAATCATAAGAATTCTATAATTTGTGTGCCGGATATCTTGGGTCTCACTAACCAGACATACATTCTGCCGTTTCTAACCTGGGCCTCAGTTTCCTGTTCCTCCATTTGGTATGAAAACAGACTGAACCGCTGCATCCTCTGCATTTCCCCAGTTCCTTCAAATAGAACCAGGGGTGATTTGAAATTTTTATCTAGTTCTGTTTTTCCTAAAGTATTTCTATAATACAAGGTCTTTTTCCTCTTGTGTTTCAGACTGCATGTCATTTTTCCAAACTTTTTATTTTAAAATAGATTTACAAAAGAGGTGCAAAGATAGTGCAGCTAGTTCCTATAGACCTTTCACCCAGCTTCCCCTAATGTGACCATCTTACATAACTGTAGTACATTTATCAAAACTAGGAAATGAACATCTGTATAACACTATTAACTAAACAGTAGACTTCATTCAGGTTTCACCAGTGTTCCCACTAACGTCCTTTTGTGTTCCAGGATCCAAGCCAGCATTCCACCTTGCCGTTAGCTGTCATATCTCCTTCGTCTCCTCCAATCTGTGACAGTCCCTCAATCTTTTCTTGTCTTTCATGATCTTGGCACTTTTGAATGCATGTACTTTTTACAACAAAAATTTAAGTATCTACACACCTATATAAATACGTACTAGCCTGCCCCTTTGGCTTGTATTTATTTTGTCTTCCCCCCTCTCTGTTCCTCCTTATAATTCCCTTTCTTTCCCTACTTCCTAGACTCTTAAGGTAAATGTTTCCTTCTCATTAGAGGCCTCACTCCCTCCCTCTGCTGGTAGCCAAAGCTGAGTCAGCTGAGAACATAAACCAGGTGCTCTAACTTTGTCCTTTCGGAACCCCATGCTTTCATTCTACACCTGAAAAGCCATTTTAACATTTTCTGTTCTAGCCTTTATGTAATTACCATTAATTTCTATGAGCAATTTAATGTCCTCTTCAGATTCTATGGTTGCAAAGTAGTAATCTTTCAGTTAGAATAGTAGTCATAATCTTTGCTACTGTTTGGCCCACAAGATCTTAAAAACACATTCTTGGAACTTGTTAAAAAGTTACTGAAATTAGTGAGAACCAACTGATATTTCCAGCATAAAACTGCTCTGCATGACCTCTGTATAATTGCTTTGCATGTATGTATTTTAATTGTTGTTATTGCTTGGTAATAATTTATTCAAGAAGTAACAAATTCAACTTGGGGGTTAGATTTTGGTAGAATTTTGGGAGGGGGTGCAACAGTTTTTTAATTCTACATTTTCCAGATTTATTAACTTGTTTCTTTAAGTTCAAATGGATACAATCATATGCAGATTCTGGCATGTCTATGCATAGGTAAACTTTTTCTCCCCTCACAGTAAGTAAAATTTCAAGTAAAATTTTGTGAGCATAATAGCCTTAACTCCCTGTAAAACTTCCCTGTTATACTCCCCCCACACACATTAACTAAGGTTAATTGCGTATTTATTCTAGAAGAGTTGCACACTGACCACTGTCTTGGTTGATTTCTGGAACTTTTAATTCTTTGGTCTTTTAGAGAATCCAAGTACATAAAAGACGCAGATGAAGAAAAAGCCTCCTTGCAGAAATCCATCAGTATAACTAGTGCCTTACTCACAGAAAAGGATGCAGAGCTGGAAAAACTGAGGAATGAGGTAGAGTACCGTCTGAGGGGATGAACGTTCACGCCGCCTCTTTGTTCAAACTCAGAGCCTAAGCTCAACACCTGTGTTTCAGGTCACAGTGCTCAGGGGAGAAAACGCCTCTGCCAAGTCCTTGCATTCAGTTGTTCAGTCTCTAGAGTCTGATAAGGTGAAGCTTGAGCTCAAGGTAAAGAACTTGGAGCTTCAACTCAAAGAAAACAAGAGGCAGCTCAGCAGCTCCTCAGGTAAAACGCTGCCCACCTGGCACTTCACACACCGCGCCTCCTACCAAGGAGCTGTTTCCAGTAGGGATGCTCTGTGAAGGCAGCTGTTGGGCTGCCCCTGACTTTGACCGTTTCAGCAAATGAGGGCTTGTTATAAGCCAGGGCCCACACCAGTGGTGTCTCTGCTCTGGGCCTTCCTGGGCTCAGTGATGTTCTCACAGGCAGAAGATGGTGGGCGGCAGCAGCCGTGGGGTCTAGAGTGCAGGACAGTGAAGAAGAGGTGGTCCTTTTGGCGGAGAATGATGGATTGCATCTTTAAATTCAGGTGGAGGTGACAGGCATTCCTACCCACTGAGAGGGAACACCTAGAGGGCAGGGTTGGTGGCTGTGAGATCCCTTAGGGGCTGTGAGGGGACAGGAGCTTAGCTCTGTGTTCTCAAAGAGGCACGTCGGGAAGTCCACATGAAAATGCATTTCTGACACTGGCCCTCTTACTGCAATAACAAGGAAAAAAGATTGAGACTTTTTTAATCCCCTCTCCACTTTTTTTTTTTTTTTTAATATAAGGTAATACTGATACTCAGGCAGAAGAGGATGAAAGAGCCCAGGAGAGTCAGGTAATATTCCTAACTATTTCTTTGCTTTCTTGCTGTTTTTCAAAATCATTTCATGTTTTGAGTAGGTAATAACATCCAGTGGTCCAAACATTAAACAGAATTAAAAATTTATATAGTAAAAAGTCTTCATCCAAGGCCGGGCGCTGTGGCTCACGCCTGTAATCCTAGCTCTTGGGAGGCCGAGGCGGGCGGATTGCTCAAGGTCAGGAGTTCAAAACCAGCCCGAGCAAGAGCGAGACCCTGTCTCTACTATAAATAGAAAGAAATTAATTGGCCAACTGATATATATATATAAAAATTAGCCGGCATGGTGGCGCATGCCTGTAGTCCCAGCTACTTGGGAGGCTGAGGCAGAAGGATCACTCGAGCCCAGGAGTTTGAGGTTGCTGTGAGCTAGGCTGACGCCACAGCACTCACTCTAGCCTGGACAACAAATCGAGACTCTGTCTCAAAAAAAAAAAAAAGTCTTCATCCAAACCCTCTCTTTTGCTAAGTTCCCAAACCCCCAAAGAGGTATTTATTCTTATTAGTGTCTTATCTTTTCAGAGATTTAAAAATATACATATGCACCCATACTAATACAGCTCCCTCCCTTTTTTATGTAAATAACAGCATACTACATAAAGTGTTCTGTGCTTATCTTTTCAATACCTGTGTAGTGTTCCATTATATGGATGTAGCATAATTCCATAATTTAATCAGTTCCCTGTTGGTTGACATGACATTTGGGATGTTTCTGATACTTCAGGTGTATTATAAACAATGCTATAATGACAGCTATCATTATCTTGGACAGCTATCATTTTATATATTAGTATTTTTGCAGGATAAGTTCCTAGAAGTAGAATTGCTCTGTCAAAGTGCCTTGCTCATCTTTACCTAAAAAAGGCTGGTTTCTTGAAAAATCAGTCTCCTAAAGCCAAAATTAACAAAATAATTTAAGTTCTAAAAATGGCATTATATGGAGACAAACTATTTTATATTGGGAAATACAATTATACTTACACAACAAACATCCATACTTTAATTTTAATATTTGGTATATATTTATCCTGTTTAAAATTCAGGCCAGGCATGGTAGCTCACACCTATAATCCCAGCACCTTGGGAGGCTGAGGCGGGAGGATGGCTTGAGGCCAGGAGTTCAAGACCAGCCTGAACAACATAGTGAGACCCCCATCTCTACAAAAAATAGAAAAATTAGCGAGGCATGGTGGTGCGTGTGCCTATAGTCCCCGCTCCTTAAGAGGCTGATGTGGGAGGATCACTTGAACCTGGGAGTTTGAGGCTGCAGTAAACTATGATCTCAACACTGCACGTTAGCCCAGGTGACAGAGATAGACCAAAAATCAAAGTTACAAAAGCCATCCTTTATTTTTAAATAAAATAAAAATTTGGTGAGTTTGAGATTGTTTTAGTTACCTGACGTCTCCCTTAAAAGACATGAAAGGGTTCAACATCATACAAACTTTCTCTGCATTAGCTAGCACTGTCTACTTAGTTCATACATCTAATAAGCTTAATAATTAACAATGTTTTCTCTTTCCCCCTTTCCTTTCTGCTTCCATTTGTTTCATCTGCTGCTGACAACACTTTCTTCCAATCAGCAAATGGTTTGTTTTATGTTTCCTAATTTGTGTGTGCACATGTGTGTGTGTGGTGTCTCACAATACTTAACATCCATTTTGTGGCTTTTTCTTCACTCTTAACAGGATAATGATTTAGAAAAAACTTGAGTAGTGAAAATAAACTCAGTAGGTCTAACTTGAAAGGTGGCCTTGCTGATGGTGCAAGGGATATTCCACAGAGAATGACTGTAACGATTGCCAACTTTGTTTCATAACTGGCCCTACAAAAAGAAAAGACCACATATTTCTTTAAAAAGTAAATTGTATATGGATACATGAGTGTAGATGTATACATATTTTAAATATTATAAACTGGAATCTTTCAGGTTAGAGAAATGAGACCTTTTTGTTTATATTTGTAGAACAAGGAAGAAAATTTTAAAATTAAAATGCCCTTGGTTTGAAAGGAAATGTTCAGGACAAAAAGCGTCCCCTCCTGATGGCCATTTCATCATCCCCACTGCCCAGGATCCTTGGCAGGTGCCTCTTCATACATGTGGCACCTGAATGCTGCCTCCCCTGCGTGCCACAGTGTTTCTCCTTAGTTGAAAGGGAACTTTAGCCTCTCCGTTTTCCCTGAAGACACATTTACTTATCATTCTGCCATTACCAATCAGTCATTAAATGACAGTCTAAAGAGAATTTCCACATAACTTTCTCATACATACAGAGCAGAAAAAATCTGGATGGGTTCTATGGTTTAATGGAAGAATTAACTGTTTTATGCCTTTTGTAAAATTTTGTATATATTTTGTAGTAAAAAGAAAAAAACTTACACCCATGTATTCAGAAATGTAAGATTATGACTTGGAAAATGCAAGGTATTTTTTTCAATTGAAAGAAATGTTTCTTATACTTTTTCATGAATGAGTAAGCACACCAACCAACCCACAGATTTAGATGTTTAATTCCATTTGCCTCAAATAACAAATGAAGTTTATCCATTGACAGCTAGAAACATTCAAAGAAATGTAATTTAAAATGTTTTTTTTTTTTAAGATGGCATCTACTCAGCAAGGAACATTTAAAGAATACTGAAAGGAGGAAAGGGGAAAAAGAAACTACTATAGCCCTGCCACCTAGGCATGGCCTCATTTAAGTTCAGCTCCTTTAGTCAATCTCATTCCTGTTTCTTGGGAAGATTGAAAGACTAGAGCTCAGTAACTGCCACCGTCGGCCCCTTCTGCACACTTTGCAGACATAGCTTGAGGGAATATTACTTCCTGACTTCTGATACTTCAGCTTATGTGTGTTTTAGATAGTTGACACATCTCACTGGGTTGTTTTTTTTTTCTTTCTTTCTTTTAACAAATCAGATTGATTTCCTAAATTCGGTAATAGTGGACCTTCAAAGGAAGAATCAAGACCTAAAGATGAAGGTAGAGATGATGTCAGAAGCAGCCCTCAATGGGAACGGGGATGACCTGAACAATTATGACAGGTATCTCATGTCAAGCCATCAAAATAAATGTGTGCTGTTAAAATAGGTTCTCCAATGGATTCTAAAGACAATTGCTTTATAGTTACTTTGCCATAAGTAGATTTCCATAAATCTGACAAGAGAGTGAGAGACTACGAATGGTTAGACACGAAAATTCTAAATGTGGAATGTACTACTTACATTGGAAGCTCACGGACTTGGCCATACTTTCTGTTTATTTTTTAAAATTCTTTACAAGCGTTTCTGTCTCTTCATTTTCTTCTGATAAAGTTTCTGATTTCACACCTTATCATTTATAGTGATGACCAAGAGAGACAGTCCAAGAAGAAACCTCGCCTCTTCTGTGACATTTGTGACTGCTTTGACCTCCACGACACAGAGGACTGTCCTACCCAGGCACAGATGTCTGAGGACCCTCCCCATTCCGTACACCACGGCAGTCGGAGTGAGGAACGCCCATACTGTGAAATCTGTGAGATGTTTGGCCACTGGGCAACCAACTGCAATGACGACGAGACCTTCTGATGAAGCCTCGTCTCGAACTGGGCTTTCTCAGATGCGCTAGCGTTTAAGCAATTTAACACCAGCATTGTGCGTGCAGACTTCAGGAGAACTCATGTTATTTTTGACCCCCATCAACAAATCTAAGAAATATTTTGATCTTCAACAAATCACCCTTTAGTCTTCTCTTTTAAGTTAGAAAAACAAATAAATACTTTAGTAGGTGAGTTTTCACCTCTTATTTTGTTTTCTTGATGTCTCAGTTTGAAAACATTGCACCAGATGCCATTACTTTGTTTTGTCCCTAGACCTCATAGGAAAATCCTTACCCTTACGATACCTTATTTAAGTAACTTTAAATTATGCCGTTACTTTTCATATTTGCACTAAAATATTTCCAGGCTGCATTTGTATATTTAGATTTTTGGGTTAAGCTTTGACACTGGAATGAGTTGAAAAAAAAATGTGCCATCTTGCATTTTCATCTACTCATTATAGTATTTTATTCTTATTCAAAGAAATATGAGCTCTTTGCACTACCTGTTATCAGTAGTGCCTTTATTTCAGGCTTGATAATACTTAGGTGTGATTATAAATCATGAAACAGGTAAAGGGAGGGGAAAGCCCCCAAACTGCTGTGGGGACATTTTATAATCTATATGCTGCACCCACTTACTGTACTGTGGTGTTTTGTTTATTGGTTTTGCATAATTTCAGCTTCTATATATTATATGTATATATTTTTTTAAAAATTATATTTTGGGAAAAACATATACAATGTGTCTTTCTTTTCAGATGTTTACCTTTATGAAAAAGAAAACACTTAAAGTGATCCTCTGAACATAACAGACTAAGGCCAGAAATACCATCATGTGGCTTGCAATTATTTTTTTCTTTTTGTTTTCATTTTGTTTCTTTACCAGATTTCAATAACTGGAAGAATTTTCTCAAATTTTTTTCCTTCTCTAGCAGATCTCCCCAGCAGTCAGTTAATTAGATAATAATCCACTGTAAAACACCTAGATTAAACAATTTACAGTCTTCCTTTACAAGTTTTTTTACTGTGTTTTTAGATGAATGTACGATGAGAAATTCAACATTAATAATTTTGGATTTTCTTATCACAAAAAATAAAATGAAGGACCTCAGCCACCAGAATAGTTTGTCAACCAGTTTGAATCTATTTATCTTCATTTGAATGTCTTTTAGAATATGTAAAATGTAATAAAATGTATCTTCCATGCTACGTGTATAGTAAGAACTTCTATAATTGTATATATGCCTTTGATGTATTTCCCCCTCAAGTTTTATCAACTGTGTTTGACAAGTGAATATTAAGTTAATCTGTTATGAATTGAAATTTTTGGTTATAAACATTATAATAGGAGTTGTTTCACAAACAGAAAACATGTAAAACAGTATTAAAATTTGAGCAAACAAGTGTTCTGTATCTACTTTAATAAATGATTATTCTTTTTTGCCAGTGGTAGTAAAGTGATATTATTCTCAGGTTTATCTGTCATAATGTTTTTTTCTTCAAATGAGCAAGCTTTATAGATCCAAATAGCAATGTCCACTGCAGTATTGTTGCTAAATAGCTTTTAAGAAATTGGTATGTCCTTATCTCAAAGTGTTTTGTGAACTATTTAGCATAAAATAAACACAGTTATCTATTAATATATCACATTACCTGACAAAATATACCACATTACCTGACAAAAATATAAGTGGTTCAATTCGTACCAACTATTAATCCATGAAATTTTAGAAAGAAACTCTGAAAGTTACTGTGGTATTTACAAAAATGGTTACTGAAGCGGTCGGGCACGGTGGCTCACGCCTGTAATCCTAGCACTGTGGGAGACCGAGGCAGGAGGATCACTCAAGGTCAGGAGCTCAAAACCAGCCTGAGCAAGATCGAGACCCCATCTCTACTAAAAATAGAAATTAATTGGCCAACTAAAAAATGTGTAGAAAAAAAAATTAGCCAGGCATGGTGGCACATGCCTGTAGTCCAGCTACTCGGGAGGCTAAGGCAGGAGGATCGCTTGAGCCCAGGAGTTTGAGGTTGCGGTGAGATAGGCTGAGGCCACAGCACTCTAGCCAGGGCAACAGAGTGAGACTGTCTCAAAAAAAAAAAAAGTTACTCAACCAATTGAGTGCTAGGCCCCGAATATCTATTTTATAAACAGACTCACCCGCAGGTAGATGCTTCCAAAGCAGAGTTACTACCTAAATAAGAACGTTACTTTTACTTAAATAATACCCTAAGACAGTAAATCTTAACTTTGGTATTGGCCTTATGTGATTAAAGGACTCTAACACTAAACAAGTCCCAGTACTTATAGGGCAACTACAGCACTATAGCAATGTCTCTCCTGGCCCATAAAAGCCTCTGTTATTTGATCATCTTACAGCATCCTGATCCTGTTTGGGGACGGTTTGTCACCCTAGTCTTGCTCTGTTACACTCATGCATGTTTGAGATTTCACTAGCGTTGGGCATTTTACCTTTTATAGTAAGTTGTGCCCTCAATTAACGTTTCATGACACGGCCTGCTGAGCACACATTTATTCTCACAGGTGTTAAAATGAATGCTACATTCTCAGTTGGGAAAAACTGCCTATGTGAGAAAAGTTCACAATATAGGCTGGAAAGCACGGAAAACCAGGTTGAGAACTACAGCATGGAAGACTTCGCATGTGTTCTAACAAGTTCTGTTAAAATCTAAATGTCCTTGATGGAATCAAGGCGAGAATAGAAGTTTTCGATTGTTATTCTGCATCATTCCCACATTCCACTCTTTGCTTACCCAGACTCCATGGTAATTGCTTAGGCAGTCTTCATAACATTTAGTTGTATAAAAGATATTCAAGGGAGCCATGCACTGGAAGACCACTTTCAAGTCTCTTTCACCAGATCCCAAATGGCCCATTTCCATCCCAAAGTATAGAAACGTTCATATCCTCATAATAATTGAGCAATTAGCTTCCACGCACCACCTTTCTTGTGGACTACACCAATTTACATCCTCGTTGCTTCTCACTACAACTCGCAAGGTAATAGGCTAATTTTACTAATGAAGCAAGTTGTGAGACCTAGGTTCCAGATGTGATACTGCTTGTGTGAAAAGCCACGTCGCTGTAAAAGTCTATTTATTAAGAAGGGCTTAAAAACGAAAAAGCCACTCAACGTTCCCTCGGCCTCTGACCATATTCGTAAATATTAGCTTAAAGACCAAAAGAGCCCTCATTAGTGCAAAGCGAAGGACTTTCCGATTGCTCTAATTTAAAAAGATTTCCATTAAAGTTTAACCTCAAGGTACCATTTTACAGAAGTCGCGATTTTTAAACGGGGACGAGTAAGATCCAGTCTCCCTCTTTAAACTCCGACTCCTGGGCTGACGCAGGGTCTGAAATTGGACGTGGGTCTTGGGGAAGAATATAAAGAACCCGCGAGGCGGAAGAAAAGCAGACATTAAGGCCATACCAGAGAGTAGGGGAACCCCACCGACACCGGTTTCCGGGTTTGGCGTGCGTCACCGGCCCCAGTCACGTGGACGCGCGGTCACGTGATGCGTCCGTGAGCCTCGCCTAGGAAAGCGCGGACGCGGTTTGAGTTGTGGGGAAAGGGGGCGGTGGGGCAAGATGGCGGCGCACCTGTCCTACGGGCGAGTGAACCTGAACGTGCTGCGCGAGGCGGTGCGTCGCGAGCTGCGCGAGTTCCTGGACAAGTGCGCGGGAAGCAAGGTGAGGGGTGGGAGGCAGCCACACCACCCTCGCCTCCCCTGGTCCGGCCTGGCGTAACCCGGCCCCTGACCACCTGAGTTCGCGGTGTGCCAGTTCCTCGGGGCTTCCCTGGAGGCGAGGCTCACGGCCCTTCTACCCGCGCCCCTGTGCAGGCGGCAGCGAGGTGGCGGGGACGGCCTGGGCGTTCTGCCCGGAGCCAGGCGTGGCACCACGACTGTTTGTGACGGCAGAATAAACCACTGTGACAGCCCAGCCCCTGGTGAGCCGGTTCACGTCAGGTGCCCTCGGAGGCAGAGGACGGGTGGGCGGTCTAAGAATGTGGATGGTCCATGACCGAGCGCGGTGGCTCACGCCTGTAATCCATAGCTCTGGGACGAGGGCGGGCATTGCTCGAGGTCAGGAGTTCGAAACCAGCCTGAGCAAGAGCGAGACCCCATCTCTACTATAAATAGAAAGAAACTAATTGGCCAACTAATATACATAGAAAAAATCAGCTGGGCACGGTGGCGCATGCCTGTAGTCCCAGCTACTCGGGAGGCTGAGCGGAACAGAAGGATATCGAGCCAGAGTTTGAGGTTGCTGTGAGCTAGGCTGACGCCACGGCACTCACTCTAGCCTGGGCAACAAAGCGAGACTCTGTCTCAAAAAAAAAAGAATGTGGATGGTCCAGTGCGTCCGATCATTACAGCGATCATACGTACCTTCAAAAGTCTGAAGCACCAACACCTTACAACTTGCTGCTCATACTGATTAATTAGAGTTGTAGTTATTCGGGTTTTAACCTGGCTTCCTAAAATAGGATTATTTCTCCTGTTATAGAACTCAGCTCCCCCAAGGGAGATCAGGGACTTTATAGGATTTCCTTTAAATGGTGTCACCTCCCCCTCCTTCCCTTGGGATTTATGGCGGTACAACTGGGGAGAAAAGTAGAACTGGAAAGCTCAGGAACCGGTCTCGGAGAGAATAGAACCCTGAGAGGTAGTGCTGGCAGCCAATGAGAGAAGAAAACAGGCTAAATCATAGGGGCCCATTTTAAACTCAGAGCAAATGATGCTGCAATCTGAGTCAGTTCGTGGATTGTTATCAATGTCAACATCCTGGTTGTAATATTTAGTGTACTATTGTTTTGAAAATTGTTACCACAGGAGCAAACTAGACAAAGTGTACACAGGATCACTGTTATTTCTCACAACTGAATGTTAACCTACAATTATTTAAATTAAAATGTCAATTAAAAAAAACGATGCTGGAGTTTAGTAGTAGAAATACTCATAGGGAGCTGGGTCATGGCTCATGCCGTTAATCCTAGCACTATGGGAGGCCGAGGCAGGAGGATTGTTTGAGATAGGAGTTTGAGACTAGCCTGAGCAAGAGCAAGACCCCACCTTTACTAAAAATAGAAAGAAATTAGCTGGACAACTAAAAATATATGGAAAAATGTAGCCGGGCATGGTGGCACATGCCTGTAGTCCCAGCTACTCGGGAGGCTGAGGCAGAAGGATCGCTTGAGTCCAGGAGTTTGAAGTTGCTGTGAGCCAGGCTGATGCCACGGCACTCTAGCCTGAGCAACAGCGAGACTCTTTCTCAAAAAAAAAAAAAAAAAAAGAGAGAGAGAGAGAGATACTCATAGTGGCCCAGAGTAATGACTTGTGATGTCCAAAAGTCCTGAGTTGGAGTCCTGACTCTCTTAGGCTATATTATATGTAAGGTCCAAGCTCCCATATAAGCTTTTGAAAATTTTCATGTGTTGTCAAGTAAGATTTATAATACCTATAGCATAAGTTTTAACTTTGTATAATTAGCAATTTCCATATGGTTTACTCCAATAATTAATACCATGACAGAGATACACAACAAACTATAGTTCCTCTTTCTGTCGAGGACAGTAATTAACTCTTACCTTTCCTGTGACCAACAGCATCACTTGCCCCGACGTTATTTTTAGATGCAAGATATAAACGTGGTCAGAGCCAATTAAAATTTTTGTAAACTCATTAGTTTGAGGCAAATATTCGTACTGTGTATGACTGCTATTTTCTATTGATACTCTTGAAAGTCCTGAAAATAACTGTAATAAGAGAATATTTCTCCCCTCTTGTAGGCTATAGTTTGGGACGAGTACCTGACAGGACCATTTGGCCTGATTGCACAGTATTCCCTACTGAAGGTAAATGAGCTATTTGGGGGGTGTTAGGGGATTTACTTTAGCAGTGATAATAGAATTTTACATTTCCTCCTGAGTAATTGGCTTCCAAAGCTATTTGGTCTCTTAAACACAGATACTAGGGCGTGATTGACATTTTGTATATAATGGTGGTTTGGTGGGTGATTCTATGCTGATCCTAGCGTTATGTGATGTGACCATTACCTGGCATCTTTGATAGTTCATCCTGTGAGAGTCATTTGAATGCTGATGCAATAACGGTGGCTTTATCTTAAAACTTTGTCCTTTATACATTTGGCTTTGGGGGAATCTAAATTTTGATAATAAAGTATTAATGTGTACTCGATTGGGGGTGTTTGTGATTTCTGAGTCTGGAAATGATAGGTAAGTTTCAGCCTTTTCATTAACTTTTCATGTACGTGTTTTCCTAGGAACATGAAGTGGAAAAAATGTTCACACTTAAGGGAAATCGTTTGCCAGCAGCTGATGTCAAGAATATTATTTTCTTTGTCAGACCCAGGCTAGAATTGATGGATATAATTGCTGAAAATGTGCTCAGGTATCTCAGAGCTTATGTTTACGCTAAAAGAGGTTGATCCTAATAATGGTTTTAATGTACTGAGCTCCTTCTCATTGCAAATCCCCACTCTTGCCAGTGCATTGAAAGGTGGACTTTTGGAAAACTGGGACAGGCATGGGAGAATGTAAAATGAGGAATGAGAAATTTGTGATGTTGCTCTATTTGCTTCTAAAAACAGTTTAAAGAGGATCATTCAAAATATAATACTAACTCGCATTTTTCAAGGATAAGCCCTTTTTTGAAGTTTAACCGTTTATCAGTTAAAAAGAAAAGAACCTGGTTTTAAAAAAATAAGAAAACCTCTCAATGGTTTTAAAATTTTCAGTAAACTGAATAGCTTAGTAATGTTTTTGAATTTCACAACAAAAAAAAGTAAAAGGGAGCTGATAACAATTTAAAAATGGTAAGCATCATTCTAAATAGAGGAAGCCTGGCTCGGCAAACAATTTTTGATGAGTGCCCAGCCAACGTAGCATCTTAAAAAGCATAGGCCTTTATTTTTTTGGAATCCCCCCTTGTCCCAGGAAAGAAAAAGAGGAGTGGGAGTCAAAGAAAGTGGGGATTTCCCTTCCAGTTTTTTATTATAAAACGCTGTGGCTGCCCAATCGCTGGTTTTTAAAGAAAACCATTTTGTTCCTTCAAAGTAAAGAACAATTATCCTAATTTTCAAATAAATCTGAAGAGCTTAAATGCCAATAAGTGGGTTTTTTAAAAGAAAGAAAATGCTAGAAACTTACCAAACCCACAAAAAGTTAACGGGCTTATGAACTCAGTGCTGCTTTTTTTTCTTTGTTCCCTTTTTTCGAAGGAAAGAAAAAAAGAGAGTCCATCCGACTGTAAACGATTGAAAGTCCTTGAAGAGGTCAGTAAATTTTTTTATTGTTTTTTTTAATCCAGCTTCCCATTGCTTTATTTAGTGCCAGGCAAAAAGTTGGGGAACAAATAAAACCAAATGGTCCTTGACTTCCTTAGGAGCTTCAAATTAAGCCTAAAAACACATGTTCCCCTTCCCCTTTTGCAGTGAGAATACAACGGTGGCCCAGTGAAAAAGAGAATTTCCAACATTTTGTTTGTGCCACGACGTAGCTTTGCTGTGGAACAGCCGTTAAAAGGAATCTGGTTGTTTTGGGATCCTTTTATTCAATAGGGACAAGGAAGGTAACAGCTTTAGAAATTTCTTCCATTCGATTGAGATCTCTTATTCCATGGAATCAGAGGGTTGCGTTTCCCAAAAGTAAGTTTTTTTGGCAAATTTTTCCCTGAAACAAACAGAAACTTTAATTTTTTTTGCCAAAATTTATGATGTGGGAAAGTTGTAAATGAAAATATCTTATACATTGCCCAAAATACAGAAAATCATGTTGAAAAACCCTTGAAGGGCCCATTTTCATGTGTTTTTATTAATTTTTTTAATATTCTTTTTGGCAAATTTGCCTTGTTTTTTTCAATATTCCTTGCCATGGTTTTTTTATTTTTGAGGAATTTCTCTATATATCAAGGATTACTACATCCATGATGGGTTTATAAAATGCAAACAGTCATGTGGTTGGCTTTTTCATGCCTGTTTTAGAACTCAAAACTTTAACTAGGAAGCTTGAAAGGTGGAAGGAATTGCTTGAAGTTCCCAGGAGTTGAAAGGCGCAAAGTGGGTTGCTAGAATCCAACTACGAATGCAACCTGCAATTCCCAGCCTGACAAACAGAGGGAGAAATGTGGAAGGACGCTTTGAAAGACTCCTGGTCTTTAAAAAAGAAAAGAAAAATTTAAAAAGAATTTCAAAGTGTCCTCTTTCTCCAAGTGTTTGGCTTTTGTTTTCTTTTTTAAACTTTTGTAAAAATTTTTTTTTTTATCAATAAGAAATTCCATGAAAGGTTAGTTTTAATCTTTTCAAAAATTCCCCCTTTTGGAGCTTGAAGGCCCCTTTGGAGGATTTGCTTGAGCCCCAGGATTCCAAAGACCAAAGACCTAGGCCAAACCAAGTTAATCCTCTTTTTCTTTTTTTTTTTTTTTTTTGAGACAAAGTCTCACTTCTGGTTTTTTCACCCGGCTTTAGAAGTGGCCGTCGCCAAAAAAATCAAAAACCTGCCAACACAACCCTGCAAAACTCCCTTGGGCCTTAAAGCAATCCTTCTGCCTTTTAGCCCTTTCCCGAGTAGCTGGGGACGCAAGAACCCATTGCACCAACAATGCTGCCTAAATTTTCTATAATAGTGGTTTGTTAGTTAAGTTTGCCAATAATGTTCTTGGGTTTTTTGATATTGAAAGTTCTTTTCTCAAGGCTGGGGTTTTTTGGAACCCTGACCTTGAAGCAAACGCCGCTTCCGTCCCCCCCAAGAAGCCTAGGATACAGGCGTGGAACCAGAAATCCACACACAGCCCATAATCCTCTTTATATGTCCATGTTGTCAGAAGAAAAAAATTTTTTTTTTTAAAATTACCCATGCGGAAAAGTGGCAATGAATCTGTTAGTCCCCCTACACGTTTTTGCCCCGGTGCAAGGGTGGACCCAGTTTGCCTTTCCAGCAAAAGCCCCAGCTTCTGCACAGGAAAACGAAAGCTGCTCCCCAACAAAGCTTTGTTAACCAGCTTGCAGGGCCTGCCCAGCCCCCTCCCATGGTCCCTTGCCTGCAGAAAAAACCCCAGCAAGCTTTGGGCGACAGACTCGAGTCCCCCAGCTCCCCAGTAAAAGAGTAATGAAAAAAAAAGAGAAATGGAAGTGAAATTTTAATTTATCTTTTTTCTTTTTTTGCTGAAAAAATCCCAGGCCCCAGGAAAAAACAGAAGGCGGGCCAAAAACCCTGGGCAAAGGTCCCTAGAGGTGAAACCCTTGCCGACAGTGGACCGCTTTTCCCCCAACAAGGAGTGTACTTGGAGGGCCGACCAGACGAGCCTGTTACCACGGCCAGCCAAGGGGGCCTGAAAAAACCCCTGCCAAGCGCTTTTTTGTAACGGAACCGAAACCGCAGAATTTCTTTTGGGAAAAGGAAGAAATGTGGCCCTTCGGGTTGAGAAAAAACCAGCCCTGCTTTTTTCTGGGTGGGTAAAGGCAGGGGGCCCCCGTTCCAACCAAAAAAAGGGGAGAATGGAAAACTATTTTTCATGAGCAAACATCAGTCGGCCCCTCCCATTACCTTAAATGAAACCCGTGCATGTGGAAATTTGCCGCTCAATTGCAAAAGTTGCATTCAAAAACGTTTTTCAACGTTCCCTTTTTTCGCGGCCAAGGCACGAGGGAATTGAAAAGCGTTCAGTAATGTACCCCAATGGCAAGTTTCTCGCCACCACTTAAAGGTTTGAAAAACAAGGCCATGCTCCTTGCTTCTTTGTTTTTTCCAGCCTTTCAAAACTGCAAAAAAACAGTGTTCCTTTTTTCCACAGTCATGAGTGTCCCCCACAATTTTTTCACAATTTGGTAACAAATTTTGTGGTGATTGTTTGCCATTTTTAAAAATGGGCCTGTCGGCTTTAAAAGTTCTAAGCGTTCGATGGGTTTGGGCCAAACAGCCAATTTTTGTTTTTTTCTAGAGCTGCCTTTTTATTTCTTATCAATCCTCAACTCTTCCCATTTTTCCTCTTTTTTTAACTTTTGAATTTGTCCTTTTGTTTTTTAAAGCCCTTGAAATTTTTTTTTAAAAATCTTTCAGTTTTCCCAGGGAGGGTCCACCTTGAAAAAAATGCAATGTTTTTTTTGTTTTTTCAGCAAAGTGCCCAACAAATGAATTGACAAGGAAAAAATGAAAGAAGAAGTCAGGAAAAGCCGAAATCCATATTTCCGTTATTTTTTTTCGATAAATCCTTTTTCTTTTGTTGCTCGTCGAACCGTGGAAAAAAGTTTTTTTTTTTTTTTTAACGCTCTTTTGCCAACTCCAAGATCAACGTACGAGGAACGTCCATTTGAAAATTTGAAAATTTTTATGGGCATTTCAGCAGTAAAAGTAAAAGTAAAATGTTGTTTCACTAATAAGTTTTAAGTATAATTAAAAGTTACCTTTTTTAATGTGGAAAGACCTACCACCTTTCTTTTAAAAAAAGAATTTTTTTTTTAACTTTTTTTTTTTTTTTTCTGGGACTTCAGCCAAGTTTTAAAAGCTACCAATTTTTTTATTTGGCCAATACTTTAAAGCAAATATTTTTTTTGAGTTAAAGATCTTAACTTAAATCCTTTTTTTTTTTTTTTTTTTTGAGTCAAGGTCCTCTTTTTTCCTTATTGTCCAGGTACAAGTTGCAGTGCAACAATCCATAACTCCCAACTGCAAGCCTTTGAAACTCTGGCCTTTTCAAGGTGAACCATCCCCCAAACCCAGCTCCCAGAGATTTTTAATGAATTAATAAAAGCATTTTTGGTTAAAAATACATTAAGAAAAAAATTTTTTTCACAAAAGTTTTCAGATTAAAATTTTCTTTTCTCTTTAGATTCTCTGATGCAAGGAAAATTTCTCAAGTTAAAAGTGGTTTTTTAAACAAGTTAATAAAGAGCCGCCTTTTGGTAACAGAAATCCCAAAAACAACTTTTTACTGAAGAACAGTTGGTGGGGTCCAAGTTTTTTATGTTTGCCACCAAGCAAAGTTTTCCCACGGGGGCCAAATGTGGTTTGTTTTCCAGGGAAACTGGGAAACTAAACGGCTTTTGGCCAGGAAAGCCAGACGTGGAAAGGAACTAGAAATTAAGGCCTACTTTGCAGAAAAGGAAAAAACTGGAAAAACCATTGCCTTTAAAGGAAATGGGAAAAAGCCTTATTTCTAGAAAATCAGGGTTTGGACCCCATTCTTTTTTTCTGTAAAGACCCAGAAATGGTAAAAACAATTTTTTTTAGGCTTCTGCCCTTTGGTTTACAACGGTGGGCAAGATTATACAGGAGGAAATCTTTCCTACCCTCTTCCCGTTGGAAAAAATGTGAAAAAGAAAAGTTTCCACAGACAATAAACAGAAAAGAAGATGGATTTGTTTGTACTGTTGCTGATAAAACTTTTAATTTTTACAAAAAGTAGGAAAAGTTTGGAAAAGGAAAATTTGGCCTCCCCAGGCCATAGTTTCTTGATCGTTGTTCTTAGAGTCCTTTCCAAAACATAATTTTGGGACCTTGGCAAACCCAACAGTAAGAAAATATTTTTTATATCATGACCCCATATATTAAAAAACACATGTATTTGTTGTGTTCATGTGAAACTGAAGAACCAATTTTTTATTAAAGAAAAAAAAAGAAAACCAAAACCCAACCTTCCCTTCCTTCAAATGCTGAAATTAATAGATTATGCTATACTGGTAAATCTATTTCTAATGCCAAGTTTTTTTTGTTACTGCGTTGCTTGTTTAATCTTTTTTCTTGCTTTTCAATGATTTATGATCCACTATGGGAACATGAAACCTTACAGTTTTTTTGAAAAAACACGGCCCAGGGTGTGGTGGCTTCCAAACACCTTGGGTAATCCTAAGCCACTCTTTTTGCCCTTTCCATGATTTCAATGATTTCACGTAAATGGACATGACCTAAAACAAAGTTTGAAAAAACACGGCCAGGTGTGGTTGCTCAACACCTATAATCCTAAGCCACTTTCTTTGGAGGCCGAGGGCGGGCGGATTCTTTTTCCAAGGTTCAGGAGTTTTTTCGAAAACAGCCTGCAAGCCAAAGAGTGAAGACCCTGTCCTATAAAAAATAGAAAATAAATTATTTGGCCATAAAAATAATAGAGAAAAAAAATTAAACCCAGGCTTGGTGGGCAATGCCTGTAAGTCCCCAAAGCCCCTTAACTCCAGAAGGCCTGAGGCAAGACAAAGAAATTTGGCTTTGGGAGCCCAGGAAAAAAATTTTGAAGGTTGCCTTCGGTGGAAGCGAGGCCTGATGCCATGGCAAAATCTATCTAGGCACAGAGGTGAGAAAAATTCTTGTTCTCAAAAAAAAAAAAAAAAGAAAAAAAGAAAAAACACTAAAAGAATAGAATAGGGAACGAATCTTTTTTTGTTGGGGGAATTTCCCCTTTGGGGAGTAGAAAAAGTGGACCCTAAATCCCTGGAATAGTTTTAGACACCATCAGAAAAAAAACCATGGCTGCGTGTTTTTGGCCCAAAAAAGACAGTCCCAGAACCAGGGATGTTCCCAAATTATTTTTAAAGAGGTCACTTTTCCCCTGGTATTTAAAACTTGATCAAAACGAACAATTCACAACTCAGCCTAAATGGGTGTTTATTTTTTTTCTGTTTTTAGTTCTTTAACATCCTCTCTGAGTTTTTGGACCATTTTCTGTTGGGCGCCTGGGCAAATTGGTTTTTGGTTCTTTCAG